GCTCTAAAAAGCATAGATGGAGGCCATTTGCTGTGGTGGATTCTGCACTTGTTCCCAGATTCCAGCCAGCAATAACATGTAGACTCCCTTCTGAACTTACCCTGCTCTGACTGGGTAAGTCTCTAAATGGGTAAATCCAGGGGAAAATCCAAGAGAAAAGCAATCTGACAACTCCCAGCATTCCCCAGCCAGCATAGTTGCACTAAAAGACATGGATCTTTGGCTGGCACGAACAGGTCCAAAGACTTGGTGCCAGGCAAGCTTCTCTGCAAGGAGGGCTCAGCAAGAGGAGCACCACCACTGAAAAGGCCCTTCCTTACAAGGTGGCCGCATGCAGAGGACCAGTCTTCTGTATTGGCCAAGTCTTGTGCAGTCAATCCGAGAGACCAAATCCTGTTAATATTTTTACTTTAGTTCAAAGAAATGCAGCAGGCCCTCAAGTGCCCAGTACATAGAATTTAGAAACATGGAGTCCATAAAAGTAGAGGCAGCACTTTTTGCTATTGTATTCTGCAGTATTCTTTGTTTGGCATCAAAATAAACTCTTTTCCCATATGCATGTTGTCCTTTTACCACTTCTTGAGTGGAAATGGGTATGTGCTTTACAGCAGGGAATTTCCGTTTCTAAAATACAGTTTCTGTGTTAGTAATCAACTTTTTGCACGGGCTCAGATGATAAACAGCCTCATGGGAGTCGTTGAAATGGAAAAGTCTGTTGTCTTCCTGTCTACTTCCCTTTTTTACATGGGGCTATTCCCCAAAGAATATAGCAAGTATTCCATCCAAGGAAGACTAGTCTCTGATCATCAGGAAAAATGAAAATCATACAGAACTTTTACGAAAAGGTGTCACAGCTAAAGAAACTGTAGAAACTACAGTGGGGAGAGAGCGCTAAACTCTCTAGAGATAGAAAAGTATCAAATATCACACATAGCTCAGTTTTGTCTTGGCACTTTGAGTCTAAATTTAAACTTATTTTCCGTTTTAAGTTTCCAATGCAAAGTATAAGAGATTTTCACCACAGAGATGCCAAAGAGCAGAGAGATGTCATTTGTCATTCTGTGTCCATATAGAGAATCATGTCCAATGGCAGCTTTGGATTTTTTTTTCCTTTTAGAAAAAAACAACAACTGTGCAGTATTCTAAAACATTTTAATCTCAATGGTTACACTACTTTCAGTCTGTACAGTAACCACATATTACCAGGTTACCTTTTGCTTTGTTTTCTCAGCCATAGCTAGTTTGTATTACTATTTCCCTGACATTTTAAGGGGTACCTGATAGTTGTGGCTTTCACTGGTAACCCTCCCTTGTCTTCCCACCATGCCCTCCTCCTGTTTTGGAACCATAGAAATACCATAAGTAGGGAAAGAAGAAAGTAATGCACAATCTCTTGATTTCTAGCACTGGGAGTCATCCACCTCAATCAATTCATACTGAATTAAACGAATTCAGCAGTAATGCACCTGAATTAATTGAGCATTAGCTTGAGATGCATGCAGTTTTTCTGAGCACAAGAATCAAGTTTCTTTGTCGGAGAATATGGATGGGTTTAAAAACATACAGAGAACACTCAGCCCTGTCTTTCATCAAATTACATTTGAAATTACTGTGGCTGCTATGCATTATTTAGAGTCCTGTTATTTAAAGGGGTGAGGTGGGAGGGGAGCATCTCTATATTCCATCACGAGGGCCAAGGACATATTTCCCCATCTCTTTTAGGCTGAATTCCAAGTTGGAACATCTAGTTCGAACCACAGCCATTAAGTACTGCAGTTCCCCACTATTTATGAAAGCAATCTTCTGTGGAATTGCATAAGTGTACTGAAAATACAGCATGGCCTCTAATTTGCTGTGTTTGACATTTGGAAATGAGGGATAATTTATTGTATGGGCTACTGTAAGCAAAAGGAAAGAAAGAACAACATGGGAAAGAAACCCCCTACTCCTGCTTGTGCTTACTGCAGCCTTGCAAATAAATCCAAATAAGGCTGGTGTTTGCTAGCCCATTTATTTGAAGCATAGAAATAGCCTGAATTGCCCAAAAAACCAGACCCAACTCACTTCCAGTTTCTCAAGGCTTTCTTGCCTGAAGGAAACCATGTGCATGGCCCTGCCTGACTTGCATTGCTAGATCTTAAGACAGTTTTTCCCCAACATGGTGCTCCTCAGATGTTTTCACTATAACACCCATCAATTTTATCCAGCATGGTGAATGATCAGGATAATGTCTTCAGCTACTGCCTGGGGACAAACAACATGAGGTGACCAGACAACCATTCCTAGACAAAGAGGCTGGGTTCACATGGCAAAATAAGCCATGCTTCTTTCCGAGTGGCTTGTTGTGTTGTCTGAACCCAGTTGGAATGGCTTATGCATGGTTATGAAAACATGGGGTTGGGTACACATGACATGACAAACCACTCTGAAACAAACATGGCTTATTGTGCTATTGTGTGAACTCCATCAAAATGTTGGCTTGCTTCAAAGCCAAATGTTGGCTAGTTTCAATGCCAAATGTTAGAAACCAAATATTGTAGGGGAATGGCTCCGTCTCTAGCTCTGGTGACCCCCACAACAACCTCTCTGCTATATTATAAAGCACCCTACTTGTAGTTTCTTCAAGGGATTCAGGAAACCTTCTCCACAATTTACTACTGTAGCTTCTTCTACACTGTTTGTCCTCTGCGGACAGGAACAGGAAATGTAAAAACTGGTCAGTGCTAGAGAAAGGCCATTGTTTGTAAGAAGGAATTGATGGCACATTGCTTTTATGGCCTACACACCTCACTTCTTTTGTCCTACTTTCGGTTTTGGTGAAAAGAGGTGTGGCCAATTTTAGAAGCATTACAAAAGCCAGAAAAAGGTTATTTAACTTGAGAGGATATTAGGAAAGAAAAAAAGAGTGTGCGTATCACACAAAGCAATTCCGCTATCAAATCATGTTCAGTTCTCTTGGGGGGAACCCCCCTCACACACACGCACACATGCACAATCACTCTATATATTAGAAGCCAGTTTAAGGTCTTCCTCTTCCAGAAGACATTAAAAGTGCAATTCTGTGGCTATTTACAGGAATATACATCCTCTAGCTCACAGCACTCCCTAGTTGGACATGCTGTCTGTGAAATGCCGAACAAAGTTATACTCTTTGTCTACTGATTCCTTGATATCTTTAATGTTAAATATTCTTATTTGATTCTTTTTATTTAGTTGGTTGGTGATTTTGTTGTTGTTTTATTATGTAATCTGTCCTAAGGGCATTGGACAGTATAAAATCTAACAAATAAATAAAATTATCCCAAATTACCTTTTCTCTATTTTGATGCATAAAGTTGCTATTGGTTCTGCCCTCTTATTCGAGGCATCTTTTTTCCCCTTCAAATCTTTTTCCTGCTCTCTTTTTGAATATGGACTTCAAACTGAGATGGAAATAAGATCAGCTGCAGAGAATCAAACCACAGCAGCTCACGCAGTCATTTATACCTTAAATAGCCACACGTGCGTCCCCAGAATGGTAGTATTGTCCCCAAGTTCACCACGTGACTTGCCCAATAATGCATCTGTTAACTTTTTGTACCATCCATTTCCAGGAAATCTCTACTCACATATTTTATTTATTTCTAGTTGCCAGCAGCATCCATGATGCAAGCAATCACTGTAGCCTTGTAAAACACACATTCACCTTGTAGTGGTTGGAAAACATGGTCTAACCTCCCTGTTATTTGACCCACATAATCTGGCAGGATATTCAGTATCTCAACCATCTGTTTCAAATCTTAATTATATGCTCTGGATTTGTCTCCCTCCTCCCTCCATCCCTTGCTAGTTTTAGCATGACTTTTCTCTTGGGAAAATAGAGAAAATGGAAGATAATGAGAATGAAGGATTGTTTAATTTTAAGAAACTTCTTTGTATACAATAACAAAAATGATTCCTAGTTATTCAAAAAAATAAGTCAACAAGTGAGACATGCAACAAAATGTTGCAGTCCGGATTGTTTCGATCCAGGACGCTCCATTCCTTTCCATTCCCCTCACCCCTGTCAGTTCAGCCTTAAGTGCCCACTGAACATGCTCAAACCTAGTTGTGCTGCCCCAGGAAGACATTTTCCCCTTAACATCATTGTTGTTATTATTTAGGGTTCTTTATACCTCATTAAAGGGATGCAGGTGGCGCAGTGGTTTAAACCACTGTGCTGCTGGGCTGGTAGATCAAAAGGTTGTCTGTTCGAATCTGCACAACGGGGTGCGTTCCCATTGCTCCATCCCAGCTCCTGCCAACCTTGCAGCTCGAAAGCATGCAAATGCAAGTAGATAAAAGGTACCACTTCAGTGGACGGGTAACAGCGTTCCGTGCACCTCGGTGTTTAGTCATGCTGGCCACATGACCACAGAAACTGTCTGCAGACAAACGCTCGCTCCCTCGGCTAGGAAACGGAGATGAACACCGCTCCCTAGATTCAAACATGACTGAACGTCAAGGGGAAACCTTTACCTTTATACTTCATTAAACCCTGGGGTTTCCTGCCAATATTGCCCCCTTGTGTGTGGATGATGCAGTTTTGGTTATGTAAGAATCAGCACTCAGAAAACTGAGCTTGCCATCCTGAAATATAAGTGGTCCTGGTAACAAAATGCAGCATGGGATGCTAAAGCTCACTGTTCCGTTCAGACAGCCATGCCCCTTTGCATGATATACCATTCCGTTCCTCTTTCTCCAGTTTTGTTTTCCTTTTTCATTCAGCTCTCAGTCAGCCCTTCGAAGCTACTGAACATGCTTTGCCCTCATTGGGCTGGGGTGCTTTTCTAATCCTAGGTATTTTCTTTCCTTTGATGTTTGCACTTCAGCGAACCTGGGACTTCTGCAAATTTCAGGCTCTCCCAAGCCTGAAGGAATGTGACATATTGGCCATTTAAGCAATGGAGCTTAGGCTTAAACACTGAAAACACTGATGGTCAAAATCAGTTTTCACTTCCAACATATAGCGTGCAACATACTTTTCATATATTCTCTGTCCTCTCATGAATGCCTTAACTTCACTGTCAAGTGGAAAGGTTCCATCGTCTTTCCTGAAGCGGTAAAAAAGTTTGAGATCCTTGAACTCCTTATGTTCATCGCAAACTGAAATGTAAGAACAGGAAATTAGAAATTTGAAAAACTTTATCACAGTAGGTTAAACGTCCAACAACCATCACTATGAACTCAGAAAAAATTTGATATGAGAAATTTTCTAATACAAAATCAGTCTTGTAAATAAATCTACAGAAGTTATTTGCCTATAACATTTTTCACAATTTATTATTTTCCCAGTTGCAATGTATGGCTGTGAAAGCTGGACCATAAGGAAGGCTGAGCACTGAAGGATTGAAGCCTTTGAACTGTGGTGCTGGAGGAGACTCCTGCGAGTCCCTTGGACCGCAAGGCGATCAAACCAGTCAGTCCTAGAGGAGATCAACCCTGACTGCTCCTTAGAAGGCCAGATCCTGAAAATGAACTCAAATACTTTGGCCACCTAATGAGGAGGAACAACTCACTGAAGAAGACCCTGATGCTGGGAACGATTGACAGCAAAAGGAGAAGGGGACAACAGAGGATGAGGTGGCCAGATGGAGTCACTGGGGCAGTGGGTGTGGGCTTGAGTGGACTCCGAGGGATGGTGGAGGATAGGAGAGGCTGGAGGAATGTTGTCCATGGGGTCGCGATGGGTTTGGCATGACTTTGTGACTAAACCAAATCCCATTTTTAAGAACACTTTATTGTACCATTTTACAACAAACCTAAAAAGTAGGTTGGACTGAGAGATAGGGACCAGATTAAGATCATGTGGTGAGCTGACTGGGACTTCAACATATGTTTCCCTGTTCCTAGTCTAAAATTCTGACCACTACTCTACACTGGTTCCAGTATCTCACACATAACCATGTGTGGCATATCAACAGCCTGAATCAAAGGGAGAAAAAAAGGGACAGGTGGTATTCAAACTGACAATGATTGAGTTCAGAGCATACAGTACAAAAATTGATGAGTGTGGGTTGCCACTGAACCAAAGGTTGTTGCTGAAAGAAGGTTGTCTGAACTCAGCTCTGCTAACAGGCAATGGCTTACTAACCACAACAGCCCACGAAAAGAACAGAAGAGGGGTTTTTTGGATTATGAACTATGGGTTGCACACCATGGTTTGTTAACCTGATTAGGCAAAACAATAACCCATGTTCCAATAACTACCCTCAGTTCAATGACAATCCACACTGAATGTGGATTAACTTGTTGTGTAAATTCAATCAATTTTTCAGGCAGTCTGGGAGAAATTCTTCCTTGCCACAACTGATCCAGTAAGTGTGGCTGTTTGCAAGATTTAGCCACAATACCGTATACATTTCAGTATGATGCATTCATATGGGCCACTTCAGACATAGTGCCAATGCATGGCTTGACACTCCATAACAAGCCCGGCTAATGCATCCTCCCTTTTCCCATTGGTTTAGGGTTAGAGTCACAAGCTTGTGCTAAGCATAGATTGAATGTAACAGCAAACTGCCAGCATTTCCCCAGATGTCTTTTTGGAAAGAAAAGAGAATAGAGTTGAGCACAAACAAACAAAGGCAACAATGTGTTTAAAGTAGGAGTCTGAAGAGGTCAGGACAGAAAAATGTAACAACACTGATAATTTTATTTATATTTATTATTATTATTTATTTAGACAGCTTATATGCCGCCCCCTTCGCATAAGCCTCAGGGTGGCTTACAATCAATTCTGTCCTTCACTTTTCTATCCCATTGATTGATTGAACTTGTATTCTACACTAATAGCCCTGCAGGATCCTGGGCAAATAGGATCTCCATAGCAGATCTCCCTAAGCAAAACAATTACACAGGCAAGCAAGTCGAATAACATCAAAGAAAATTCAGCAACAGTAACAAAGGACAGAACCCTGTGTATGCTTAGACATAAAAGGGTCTTCTAACTTCCAGTCAGCCATGAAATATTGAAAAACATTTAGCTAGCTCAGGAATGCTAGGAGCTGTGTGACATTTTTGGGCATAGGACTATGCCCAAAATTCTCTGAAGGAGTCTACACCTTCAAAAAATGTTTATTGAATATAAGACCTGGTTTACTTTTCCATACAATGCAGGAAGAGGTGGGATCAGCCAGATTTCCTGGAGCAAAGCTGAATGCCATTCCCAAGATGGTCCTAGCCTACATAGCAACCTACCTACACTCTTAGGCAAGCTTTACCAGTCTGGTGCCCTTCAGGTCTCAGCTGGCGTGGCTCATGGCCACAGGACCACAGGTTTATGGTCCAAACTTTCGGGGGGGGGGGGGCACAAGGCTGTTTTTGAGGATGATGCTCTCTTTCTTTTCCTTTCCCTCTTGCATTGACATCCCATGCGGCCTGGTTCTTGGCCTTATCATTCAGTATGTTCTTCCTCCTGCCAGCTTTCTTTACCTTTCTTCCTTCTTTGGCGTACAATATCACAGTTACTCTGATGATATCCCAATCTTTCTTTCTGTTCTTTCTTATATTTCCAAATGGCCATTTCTGCTTGGAAGTTAGATCATTATCTCAAGCAAAAATGCACATTCAGTTTCCCTTTCCCGCACCCAGCTGGCAAATTCACTTTACAATATCCTGAACAATTTAAGAGTTTGGCAGTTATCTCTGAGCTCTCCTTTTCAGCTCACAATACAGTCTCTGGCTTTCTCTTTATAATTTCACTAAAATTCATCCTCCTTTCTACCGACTTCCTTCCTGAGAAGCTCATCCTGTCCTGCATTGGTCATCAGGAATATGTGCCACAGCGCAGCATGTGGTACCCCCCTCCACAATGAACCGCAACTTGCTGTCCTGCAATGACACCCCAAATTTGCTGCTCAAGGCAGCTGGCCTCCCTCTGCCCAAGGGTAGGGCCGGTCCTGTTGAGCATTGGTTTTCCTGTCCCTTATCTCTGTTCACAATTTTCTGTCTGCTTAAGCCTTCTTTTCTGTGTGTGATTTACAGCACGGTCTGTAGTGTGTTAACCTGGAAATAAATTCTATGATGTCCAGCCAGGCTTACTCTCAGGTAAGTGCGCAGACTCAGTCACTTCTTGGCTTTCCTATGTAAGGCATTTATTGTGTGCTCATGATTCCTTTCTCATGCTTGTTAAAGTCTCTAGACAACAAAGCAATCCTCCAGTTTGGCTTCTGATTTTTCAAAGCATTTTCACAGGATAGGGAAAGTAGCCCTTTATCTGCTGGTGCATTTCTGCTATCCTGCCAGAGCACAGCTCCAGAAGAAAGCAGGGGGTCGGGGGGGGGGGGGGAGCTTTTTGTAGAGCTCAGATCTCCTTGCAATGACCAAATGGAAATAGATACAGCAATCAATAAATGCCTCGTGTAGAACAGCTCTGTTTCTCTAGACTGGCTATTTCTCTGGTTCAATCTTGAATGGATGTCTTCTAATATTTAATTATCTTCATGTGTTTGTCTCCTTTTATTTATTTTCATATTCTTTTCCATCCCACACTTGATTCCTCTGTTCAGTAAAATAATATTCTAATACTTTGTGCTTTTTTCTGCCTTGTTTATATTGTGGGCTTTCATTTTACTTATTTATTATATTTATATCCCACCATTTTTCCCTTCCAAGGAATTCAAGTACATAATTCTCCTTCTCCTCTCAATTGCATCTTTACAACAACAATCCTGTGAGGTAGACTGGGCTAAGAGTCTGTGACTGGCCCAAAGTCACACAGAGAGCTTCATGGCTTTTGTGCACAACCTGATACTTTTATGATATTCAACAGGCCTTTTCTTAACCCTTCTATTAAATTTCTACCTCTTTCCTCTATTTTTTTCTTGAATGTGTTTGGGTTTGTTTTCTTTGACTTCAGGCAGAGATCTGTGCATTCAGTTCTTGTACAGTATCTATTATAGTTTCAGTGCCTTTATACTTTTTTAAATGATGACAATACAATCTGGATTGCAGTACAAATGGCTTGAATAATGTAGCATGCAATTTTGTTCAAAGAGAATGCAGTTGTATAGCACTATACGATAATAGTTGTATAGCACTCTGCAATATTGCAATGATTTAATAGCACTATAAAACATTGCAATAATTTAAGAATCTAAATGGCCTTCATTTAGATTTTGGTAGTTCTGTATTGGACTCACAGTGCGTGGCACTCACTTCCCCATGTATTCACAGCTCTGCCTTGGCCCTAAACCATAGATTTCTGGCTGAGGACTTGGAAGTGCAGATTGTTTTCACTCACCGTGGTGGATAATGCTACGATCCAGTAGTTTCTGCACAAGTTTAATTGCTGTTTCTCTGTCCAAGGCTTCCTTGTGATCAATCAGCCAGTCAATCAGTTCTTTGGCAACAAAGCAGTTTGGATATGTCTTCAGGTGATGCCTTCGGTCTTTAATTATCTTTTCTTCATGCAGTCTGAGCCTGAGAACCAAATGACACCACGCTGTGAATAATTTTTGCAAAGCATCTGCCTCTTCAATTGCAAGATAAAAAGAAAAGCTCTTTTCTTCATATCACAAAAGTTGCAAGCAGCGATTGAAGTAGGGAGAAAGATCTGACAGGCCTTATTGGTTTTGCATCCTTATTTCTCTTTGGTTGCAGTCCTATACACACTTACCTGGGAGTAAGTCCCTTTGAAGTTAATAGGAATGACTTCTGAGTAGATACACATAGGATTGTGCTGGCAAACAATCCCAAGTAGCACTGTTTGAGGCTATACCACTGATAAAAATAAAATAAAATGTACTTCTAATTACATACAAAGCGCCCACCTAAAAGAAATTGCTATTCATGTTGGTGTTCTTAAATAGAGACCCAATTATCTTGCTCCCATGTTGTTCTTCTCATATCACACTCCTTCAATTTGTCCACTGTGTGAGGTCCTCCATGACCCGACCTGACTCCATGAATTTTGGCCCACACTGTATTTCACATCAACGCTCCCAAACTACCTTTGTTTACTCGGAAGTTTGGTATTGAAGATTCAGGCTCAATTCCAGTTTATGGTTTAGTGGCAGTCTTCAGGGGGAATTGCCTTCCCTTCAGGTAACCAGATGTTCATCAATGGATCTTAAAGTGTTTATCTGAATGGGTGTTCCCACCTCCCCCAGGGCTGTGTTTGCATCATTCCTCTGAAGAAGCCTCTTCAGAACTGAAATACATCTGGGTCAAACATGTTATTGAGAGTGCTTTCCTGGGTTCTTCTTTCCTGTATTTCTGCATTTGGTGCACTTTCAGACAAACGGTTCCTACTCATATCTCTAAGAAAGACACTGACAAGATTCACACATAAGGGCAACCCATAGTATGTGCTGAGTATGTGTTTTTGTTGCTGAATTGTGGATTGTCATTATGCAAGCCCTAGCTCTTGGTCGATCAGCACAAAGGCTGGATTCACACCAGGTAACACACTACTCAGCACTGAATATGAGTTGAATGTTGGTTGCTGTTGAACTGTAGGTCGTTATGTTGTGTGAACACAACTATATGCCCCAACCATGGTTTCTTAACCATGAGCAATCCACTAAGAGAACCCATAGTTTGTTGCTGGGCTATGAACTGTGCATTGTTCAGGGTCGACAAGCCATGGTTTGTAAATGCAGCTGGGTTTGTATAACACAACAACCCTTGGTTCAACAACAACCCATATTCAACCCATACTTTGGATTGCCATTACATGTGAACCAGGCCACTGTGCAGTTGTTTCTCTTGTCTATTTTTGTGAAAAGGAGAAAAGGGAATATGGAAGTAATTTCAGTGGGAAAAAATGGTGGGGGGGGGGGTTTACAAGTAGAAGATGTCACCTTTTCACTCCCAGTAAAATTATGTGGATAAGGCAAGACAACTGCCTGAGAAAAACCTCATGTGGGAGCCCCTTCTGGAGCCCTTCACCTCTAGATAGCCTCCACATGCAGAAGTGTGGAAAACCAAGGGTCTAGATTGCGTGGGGAGCCCATGCAGATTCAGAAAGCACCCCTGTGGTAGAAGTTTTCCCTCAGCACATGGCAGGTGACTGGGACAAAAGGCACTGAAGGGAGTATGCTCATCCCCATTCTTCTCTGCTGCGTGTTAATTAAACTCAGAAACAGAGTACCAGCAGAAGGCTTCTATGAAGGAGCAACGAGACTTCCTTCCAGGACAGATGGCAAGGTTGGACTTTGTACGCTCTGAAAAGTGCCTCTTTCCTTCCCTTGACTCTGTTTCAAAACAAAATACCACAGCACACAGCACTGCGTCCACAAGGAGGCTGAGCTGGGGGTACTTTGGTTCCTCAGAAAGATTCCAGAACACTTTCCCTCCCCAGATTTCATGAGATAAAAAAGGTTTTCTGTTCTCTGATGTTTGGAGAAAGGAAGGAAATGGGGCACAGCCAATATTCCAGTTTAGCTGTCCCTGTTTCCTACAACATATCCTGGAGGGTGTAATTCAGTGGGGTGCTGAGGATTCCCTGATAGAGCTCTCTAGATAGCTCCCCTTACAGTTGATCCACAGAGGAGAAGGCAATTCAATTAGCTTAACTCCACAGCAGAGATACAGGGACACGAATTGTGTAGAAGGCAGTTTTAGGGCTGGCAGATGGTGGAATTGGTTCTTGGCTTAGTACAAAGAGATGCAGAAGCTGTTTCTACTACCATATGCTAAACCTCGTAAACATACTCCAGTGTGTCTATTAAATAAGTTTGCATGGTGGCAGCAGCCAGGAATAATTCTTTCAGGTTATGTGTTAACAAGCTTCGCGTTACCACATTATTTGTGAAATCCTACTGCCAAAGTGCACAGTGACTACTTTCATATTTGCAAGCAAAGCTTGTGGATACACAGAATAACGCCTTATACAAGGAGGCAGGTAAATATTTCAGGTCAACACTGGACATTAATGATCTGAGCATCTAGAAGGCTTCAATCATCTTGGTACTGCCTGCGCAAAAAATTCAGTGACTGACAGAAATTTGAGAAACCACATTCCTTTCTGACATGTCTTGTTCCTTGTGTCAGAGGGTTAAATGGAGGTGGCGGGGGGGGGATTTTTAGGAAAAGTTGAAGAGAAAGACCTCCTCTTAGTGTGTCCAGCCAATGTTCCTGATGTCCCATGTTTTAGATAAAAATGTTACAGGGCTATGTAATTAAGTCTACTGTCAGCATTAGAGCTTCCCACTTTACAAAGCACAACAAACTGGCAATCAAATAATACTAGTGAGAAACACATTAAACAAAGCGGCACAACAGCCTCTCCTACATTTTTCAAAGAGGCAACCATGTTGGTTGGTTACAGAAAAAACAACAGAGTCTTGTGTCCCTTTAAAGATTACCAATTTTTCCATGGCATAAACTTTCAATGGATATCGTTCACTTCATCAGATGCAAGGAGTGCTAGGCTCAACTTGGCATTTATGGGGCACAGTTATGCACTATTAGGCAGGGGGGAAAAGGTTTATTCCTGGCATTCCCTATTCTGACTGGGGAAAGTTGGAAGTTGTGGGAGATGGGGGGGGTGTTTGCAGGAGCTTCCCCCTCCCATTTTTGGCCCAGTGGTATTCTTAGGATAGGAAACATACTCCCCACTGCATTCCAATTATCAGAAAGTTCAGTTTGGACCATGGATATTACAACAATTATTCCAAAGCATCTATTGTAAAACAAAACAAAATACGCTTTGAAATTATGCACACTTTATATGAAGAAGGCCCCAAGTTTAAGCCCGGGTATCTTGAGGTATGAAAGGTTAGGAAAGTCCCATCTGAAATCCTGGAAAAAGTATACATCCTCCTTCTCCAGTCTGGTACCCTCTTAATTCCTACAACTATGGACTACACCTCCCATAATCCCTGACCACTGACAATGCTGGTTAAAGCTGATGGCCAAAGCAAAACACTAGCATTGGATGATGGGCCATCATATGAATCTACATAAGGCAGCTTCTTATATTACAAAGTGGACATAGAAAAAAAATATCCAGAAGTTTACTTTTAAGTTACTCACTGAAGTGGAGTGATTTTGAATTATACTGCTCATCCTGTTGTTTAGAAGTTTGATTGTTAACAATGCTGCTTATTAATTTTCTCAACATGCTTTTCCCTTTTAAAAAGCAACCTGTAATTATTCCTCATATAATTGTATTTCATTATGCATACAACATATGTATTAAATGTATTTTATCTATTTAATACAACATACAGACCAAAAATTTCATTTCCTACCCAGAGATCTGTCTGGCTGCTACTAAAAGGTAGCCACAAGCAAGCATTGCCAACACCTGTGAATTGTGAGGGACAATGCTCATCAGATACAGTTTTGTTCCTCTTTGAATCTGCCAAAAAGATGCAGCCATAGATGTTAATGTGTCCAGTTTACAAGGACCTATACTGGGCTGGCAGTTTGTGGCCTTCCAGATTTCTGGCCTACAGCACCCACCATGACTAGCCCAGTTAGCCAATGGTGAAGGACGATGGGAGCTGCACACCAAAACATCTGGAGCACCTCAAGTTGCCCATCATGGCCTACTTGGAAGCACTCCATACAGCTGGATTGCAAGACTGAAAAATCCAAGCGTCTGGTAGTACTGGCCTCTTCAAAATAAAATCTGCTCACTTGGGAATATGACAACAACACTGCAGCTGCTAAAGACTCAGATACGTGACAGCGAACACTTTCCAACTCCATATTCCTCTTTGAAATTGTGTCTCAGCCACAGAGATAGTCTACAGAAATGAAAATACATGGACAAAGAAAGATGAGAGCATTTCTAGGTTGACATGGTTTGGTAAAAGAAAGGAGAAAATTCTGCACCCTGACGTAATGGTTGTAAACAATGTATCTTCAATCTAAAAGATGATATTTCACCTTAAAACATTTAGTCATGATAACCACAGTGCTGGTGGATATCAAAACACTCATAGCTTCGACAAAATTTAAATAGAAAAGATCAGATCCAGAATACGCCTTCTGTAAGAGGAAGAGACTTTCCCCAAGAGGAAGACCTCTGTTCATCAAAGGTACCCCCACCCAACTGCGGGGGACACCTCTTCCCACACACCACAGTTCACAGCATTCGGCAGGATCTCCTGACTCTGTGTAGCCTTTATTGGGGGGCTGCAGGAGAACAAGGGAATGGGGACAGGGCGGTTCATTTCCACTAGCGCAGCTGATCTGGCATAAAAACTGAATTCAGTGTTTCTGTGATGCGAAAATACATGCTTAAGGCAATGCAGTGCTGGTCATTTTAGAAGATCCCTCTGTTGGAAGCAGCCCCAAACCTAGCCCACAAAATACGTGTTTAAGGCTGGAAAAATGCCACTGGTAAGGGAAAACTGATTATTAGTAGGAAGAGCAAATCTTACATAAAATGTGGTTTCTCGATGTATTCACATGACAGAGTATGTAAGATGCGTTGAACACGTGAAATATGCTCTATGAATATTGAA